GTGAGAAACGGAACGGTCTCGACGATAGGCGGCGGGTACTGCGAGTGGGTGGACAAGGCGGGACGAGGCCTGGACCCGTGGAAGGAGGCCGAGACCCTGGAGGAATACGAGAGGCTGCTCGTTCTCAGGTGCGAGGAGGAGGGCATCGGGAATCAGCTGAGATGGGTCGTGAAGGGGGACACGCCGGACGTCGTCTACTATCAGGTTCGCTTTCGATGGTCTCGAAAGGTGTCGGAGAGGATTGGTGATCGTCGAATGCGTTCCGTTTCAGAGTCTCAAGCATTTCCAAATCGGAGGGAGAATCTTCGTTCACGATTGACGCGTCGGCCGTTTCGTATGTATTTTTTAAATAAAGCACCGAGCGCCGTCTTCATTTCTCAAAAAATAATCGTTTTTGCATTCTCGAGAAAAAGTTGTCATGCGTGAGGAAGATCATCGACCGAATTTCGACTTGACAGAAAACAAAAAACAGGTGATTCATGCACGCCCGATATTGATGATGTGCAGCGTTTTTTTTTTTTCCGTAATGAGCACGAGTCATTTTCCACGTGCCGATCCTCAATTACCCCGATTACAAACGAAGACAACGCCCTCCAAACTCGAGCAGCTGTGATACGAAACGCATTAGAGGTCAGCGGAGTCACGAAACCGCGGCCACGATCCCCTTCGATCTCGCCGAATCCGTCGCAAACGACCCCACGATCGACACCGACCGACATCGAGCGACACTCGAACCCCCGAGTCACGCCGCTCCGACCGGACCCTCGGTCCTCCCGACGAGGAAGGACCAAAGAGGGAGGACCGAGGACATACTCGAAAGGATAAGAGGGATTGGCCCAGTTGCCTCCCACCGTGAACGTTCTGCTATTGTGCAAACAAAACGTTTCATCACGTCCATCCAATCACTCGCGCAAAACATGACATACAAAGGAGAAGGAAGTCGGCTGATGAGTCTTTCTGGTTTCCTTTCGTACAGGCAACTTTTTTTTTTATGAGGCTTTTCATCTGTAAGGCGATTCGGGGATGCTAGAAATGTGTTCCTCAGCGCGTGATGCTGAGTTCCTTTTCTGCCGAAACTATGTCACGAGCATGCGTGGTTGTTTTTTTTTTTTCTTGTGATAACGAGAAGAAAATGGATTCTTATTATATGATGGAGCCTTATTTGTTTCCCCTAGTTTCCTCACTTCAGTTGCAGGTGGAACCTTAATTTCCCCACAGTACTTAGGAATGCTTACCCTGGCAAATGGCAACTGGTTCGCCTTCCTCTAAAAAATGATGCCTCCAAAAACATTTCTATATATAAAAAAAAAATTTTTAATGCACTTTTTCTCCAAAAATTATGAGAAACAAAAATCATTATCGTTCCGAACGAAAGAATCCTTCGAAGCACTGGATACGAAAATTCGATGTCGAAATCGCACTTCTCATGTACGAATACGAATTTAATGTGCCATTTGCACTTCAATGCGCAAAAACTTGCAATTAGTTGCTCTGACGAAATTTTTCTCTTCCCGAGAGCCAAAAATGAATCACGCACCATCTACCTCGTACAGGTTACAATAGGTACATATCTCAATTTGATGCGCAGGGCCGCATTGTTTCATATGAGGGACGTGGGAGCACCCTATTCTCTGAGAGCATGTGTTCATCTGGCACGGCTCACCTGGCACGGCTCACCTGGCACAGCTCACCTGGAGCAGCTTGGAACAGAATAGCCCCAGTTCGTCTAAATCAACCCTCTGTATAAAATTTTTGTCCCGATAGAAAATTCGCACGAGGCGATGATGAGGCGGTTCAGGGCATTATTTAAAAAAAAATCAAAACAGAATGAAAGGTCAAGAAATTCATCCCAAAAGGATCAATGTGGAGAGGGGAGGAGAAAGGATGAGGAGGAGGAGAAAAGGGGGAGGGGAGTTGGGGGGGGGGGGGGGGTTCATGATGTGGCCTTCTTGG